ATAAAATACAATAGAATAAAAATGTTTACTATATTTTATGTTATTTCATTTAATCTAATTCTATTTCATTTTATTCTATCTTATATTATTTTATTCTCTATCCTCTCGTTTTATTTAATTTTATTATTTTGTTGTTGTGTATCCTATTGCATTAATTTTTTTTATATTCTACTCCCTCTTATTTTATTACATTCTATTTTATTCAATATTATTAAATTTTATTATATTTTATTCTATTTTATTTTAATTCATCTTATTTTATTTTATTCTCTACCTCATTGTATTTTATTTTATTTACTTCTACTCCATCTCTACCTCATTGTATTTTAGTTTCTAGCTCAACCCTGATATTTTATAGAATATACCCAATATTTTCTAATTAATTCCCAGTATTTTTTAGCAATCCCCTAATATTTTCTAGCTCGTCCCCAATATTGTCTAGCTTATCCCCAATATTTTCTAGGTCATCCTTTTTTTTTCTAGCTCATTCCCAGTATTTTCTAGCTCATCCCCAGTATTCCACAGTGTTTTCTAGAACATTCCCAGTATTTCCTAGCTGACCCCCAAGATTTGCCAGCATTTTCTAGCCCATCCCCAATATCTTCGAGTTTTCTCCAATTATTCCCCTGTATTTTTTAGCTCATCTCCAACATTTTCTAGCTGAACTCTAATAATTTCAAACTCATCCCCATTATTTTTTTTACTCATATCCAACATTTTGTGGCTCAACTTTAACATTTTTTAGCTCATTCCCTGTATCTTTCAGCTCATTCCTAGTATTTTCTAGCTCATCCCTTATATTTTGTAGATTATCCCCACTACTTTCTAGCTCAACAATAATATTTTCTTGTTCATCATGAGTATTTCATAGCTCATTCTCAGTATTTTATATTTATACTTGTAAATTTTCTAGCTCATATTAATTATTAAATAATGAGCTAAGAAATACCGTGGTTGGGCTAAAAATAGGGGAAATGCGCGAGAAAATGTACAAATTTAACTATAAAATACTGGGGATGAGGTATAAAATACCCATGA